ACAGACGACGACGCTTGCTGAGGCTCTGAAGTCTGAACGGCGAAGTCGTGTCATGCTTATGGTGTGATAGATACGATGGTGGTGGCGATAAGCATGTTTATGGTGTGATGGACCAGATGATGTCACACACGTACGTGTTCTAGAGTTATGAGCACTGCCTTCATGGCTGTGTGGAGACTGGAGAGTTTAGACTTTAGTCTAGCCACCATAGTCCACCATATTCGTTGACAGTGAGCTCAAAGAAAAAGTTGTCTGATAATAATAAGAAAAACAAAGCCTGAAAAAGAAACGTAAAGCATCTACGGATTACGACTTGCAAGACGATGCAGTGTGTGTCACCTATATATATCAGGCATACATATATACGCATCATCAAAATTCAAAAGGAGGACGCATAGAGAACGAAAGCCCACTCTCCTCCGCTAAACTGGGCCGCCGAAGATGAGCCGGCCCAAGATTTGGCGGTCGCTTCCGTTGGGCAAGCGCACTGCGGCCCCGCGGGCGAAGGCGGGGAGCGCAACAAGACGAGGGCAACGGACTCGAGCTAGCAACGCAACGACCAGCTTAGCTATCTTCAACGACGTCAACTAAAATAAAGGGAGCGCCAATAATAAAACTAAAAAAAACAAAGGGTCAGGAGAGGATGCCCATCTTAGGAGGTACCAACGCAACAAACCAGCTTAGAGATAAGCCCGGAGATCTCTTCTTATTTATTTTAGGTTTAAAGCAGCACTTCCGTCTCTTCTGCGCAAGGATGACACGCACAAATCGAGAAATGGTCCAAAGTTTTTTTTTGAGATTTTACGGTCTGGTCCCTGTCATTGAGCAGATATGCCCCTGGCAGCTTTTTTAAGATTTTGCAGTCTGGTCCCTGGCATTGAGCATATATACCCCTGGCGCTTGAGTTGCGAACCCCTGACCGTTTCTCACTCTTACAGTTAGGTCCTGGCAGTGAACAGATATACCCCTGGCGCTTTGAGTTCCGAACCCCTGACCTTTTCTCACTCGCATCTCTGACCCCTGACCTTTTCTCACTCTTACAGTTAGGTCCTTTTCCAGCTCTGTTCGTTATTGCAGTAGCGACGTCTTGTGATCTTGTCTCCCAGGTCCACGCTGGATCTTGTCATACAATAAACAATGTTACGGTAATTATGAAAAAATAGTATTGTTTCATACTATTTTTAACTGCAATTTGAGGCTTGCACAAAGTTGCACAATTAGTCATACACATACTCATAGTCACGTATTTATATAGTACACAATTAGATCGTAGACAGATAGCTCTGATATGAGTAAATGCCATTACACATTATATTTGATGATTATCATACACTAGTTTCTCACATTGACAAGAGTCATATATAAACAACATCACGTAATACATTTAAACTGTTTTTAACAATTTCTAGCCGTTTAAACACGTTTTAGCTAATGTTTAATTACACAGTGTAAACCATTTTTGTTGTTATGTTGACCATGTATACTTGCTTACCATTAATTCAACGATTAGGTCACTATACGCAGATCCTCCGTTTACGGTTTACACGCATGCAGACAACAGTATAAACACATTTTGTTTAGTTTCTCTCTTAAAGTTTAGTCCCTATCACATCGGATGTTTAGATATATGCCTTAAGTATTAAATATAGACTAAAAAAATAACTAATTGTACATATTACGACTAATTTACGAGACAAAAATTTTAAGCCTAATTAGTCAATGATTTGACAATGTGGTGCTACAGAAAGCTACAGTAAGCATGTGCTGCTGTCGGATTAATTAGACTTAATAAATTCGTCTCGTGGATTACTGATGACTTCTGTAATTTATTTTATTATTACTATCCAACAATCTCGACGTGACATCCTAAATTTTAGGATCTGGATTTAAACACCACCTTAGGCAAACACTACTAGGTATGATCTATTGATTGATGTAATCATGACTTCCATAATTAAGCCCGTTTGCTTGGCTAATAAGCCATGACTAAAAGTATTGTTGACTGATTTGTTGTGAGAGAAAAATATTATTCGTTCGCTGAAAAATTACGGATTATAAGACAAGCAAACATGGCCTTAATATGATTGTGATGAACATTTGCTATTCATCTACCACAAAAGTTTTTTTTTTTGGCAACAATGCCAGATTTGTGCCCCTTAGATATGAGCTAATAAAGAATTAGTCTCTTTGTGATAGTTCATTTTTTATCTGACGATGAGGGTGCAAGGTTACGTTCAAAATGATCTTACAATGTAAATTCATGTGATTTTTTCTTTTGTAATCTGCACCAACTTTTCTGCACGGAAACAGGGGAGACAAGTGAATGGTCCAAACTTTGGGATTTATGTAAAAAGAAGAGTGAGTGCCTTAATAATAGAAAAATCGTATAAATCATCATATAACTTCTTGCAGATGAAAGCTTATTTTCATTTGTTTGTACTATTCCTACTACTTGCCTTTGCACGCTGCAGAAATAATCATGGAAAAAGCAAGTAAGGCTTGTTTTAGATGTAATTTCAGATTCTCGTATAAATCATCTGAAGAAACGGCTTGCAAATGCTATTTCATACCAAACTATTTACTACTTGCCTTTGCACGCTGCAGAAATAATCATGGAAAAAAGCAATCTAAGGCTTCGTTTGGCTAGATGTATCGTTTCAGATTCTCGTTGGAAACTGAAGAAACGGCACCAAATGCTATTACTACGAAACGTTTAGATCCGCACTTTTTGCCAGGAGCAAGTGAAACGCCTGGAGACTGGTTTCGAGCGTTTCAGTTTCTGGTCTCTCCTGTACACTAGCGATTTTTTTTTCTAGTTATCCTATTTAAGTGCAACAAGTTAAAATGAGTTGTATTTAAGTTATTCTTCAGCCATAAAAAGTTCTAAAAATTTTTCGAAGCATAATTTTATTTATATAATTTTTATTAGAAATATTTATTTTTAGGAATAAGAATCCACCCTACCAGCCAAACCGCCATCAGCAGCTTCTTCAAACACTGCTCCAACCTCTACGCTAGCTCCTGGTCATAGCAAAGCAACACAACAGTACCGTCTTCGTATCCTTCCATATCCCATCCATTTGGAAATACTAAAAACTGGGAAGGAGGTCTTAGAGCATCTCCAGAGCACTAACTAAAACGGACTACCTAAAACTCTATTTGAATAGCCACCCATTTTCATACTATCTAAATTTTGATCTCAACTCTAGCAGTACTAACTAAAACTGGCTACTCATTTTCGTCCTCCTAGAGCCTCTTCCTTGTGTCCCCATCACAAACGAACTCGCCCATGGCGGGGGAGGGGCGCGTCGGACAGGGTCGCACAGGCCACCGGCGTCGTACGGGTAGCCTCCGGCCCGTCGGCGTGGATTTAGTTGGCTCGCCAAGGTGGAGATGCGCTCGATGGATGGCGCATTCATGGCTGCTCCATGTGCCGTCTGCGTCGTCGTCGAAGAAGTGGCGAGGCGCTTCGGATCAGCATTGGCGTCAAGGATCGGCGCAGGCTCCCGACGGTGGACGGTGTGGCGGCTAAGACTGGGGGTGTGGAGAGGTGGCTCGACCCTAGATCCGGCTAAAGAAGGGCCGGCGCCCACGGCGTCGGGCTACCCTGTGGCACGTCGGACTTCCTGCGTCGGCGTCGGGCTCTCCTGCAGTCGCGGTCGCGACTTTCTGCAGCGGCGGCGTCGGGCTCAGGTGGAGAGAAGACTCGCGCAGGTAAGAATCAAGCGAACGAGAAAATAGGCAGTCTCTGGTGGTCCAACAGGAATGAGTAGTGGGAGGAGGGATTTGGGAAGTAGCCAACAAATCTGTTGGGTATAGTAGTTAGGTAGTATGCTAGAGTTTTTTTTTTCACCCCACTGTCTAAATTGGGGATACATGATCTGGTTTAGGTAGTCTGCTGTGGTTGCTTTTATTACCACCTGTGTTTGCTGTATGGTCCCGTTTTAAGTTTAGCCATGATAAGAGGGTGTTTGGTTCCCCCCCTCCTAAAGTTTAGTCTCCATGCCATATCGGATGTTTGACACTAATTTAAAGTATTAAATATAGACTAATTATAAAAATGATTGCACAGTTTAAGACTAATTTACAAGATGAATCTATTAAGCCTAATTAATTCATGATTTGACAATGTGGTGCTATAGTAAACATACGTTAATGATGGATTAATTAGTCTTAATAGATTCATCTCACGAATTAATCACGTATTCTATAATTAGTTTTATGATTAGCCTCCCAACACCCGATTTGACTCTCAATTAGTCCTGATCCAAACATCCCTGGCCCCGTACACCAAGCCACTAGTCGCACGTTGCCCCATTCTTCACTGTCTCGCGCGCATAGGTGCTGTCCCTTCCCGCCGTTCCAACTCGCCGATCTGCATTCGCTGATTCACTGTCGCCGGGTGCACCATGCCTCACTGTCGGTCTCGCCCATCTTGCGTCGCCTGCGATGCTCAACTGCTTCAGCGCCAGCGCCACTGTGCCGCCATGCTCGGATCATCGCCGGACAGCTCTGTGAGCCCGTGACCTATAATCCACCTTCTGGCCTTCTGGGCGCGCGCCACCACCTCCAGCTCCAGGTGCACGCGACGATGAGGCTCAGCTAGATAAAGTCGTTCCCTGCGTGTGCATGTCAGCGCGATGCCGATGCTGCTTGCTATTGTAAACTGACGCCGAGGTCAATGAGAAACCTTGTTTTGTCAGTCATGCAAATGTTACTGAAACGTATCGACACATGAATCTAAATAAGAACGCAGGATCGATTTGCAGCATGACTTGCGAATGGAAGGCACATTCCATCGCTCGAGCGTAAAGAGAAGAATACAACAACATAACAAGGGTTGTTTGGATCTAAGGCTAAAAATTAGCCCACCTTCTGAAAATGGATGAAACATGGGGGAATTATAGGCTACAAGGGCTATGGATTCTAACCACCAATTGACCTCTCCAATTGCTCTTAGGCTACATCAATGAAATGGGTATGCAGCGCAGCGCCACCTCTCACAGTCGGCTCGCGTGCTTCACCGTGATCGCCGGCTCAATGAAATGGGTATGCGTCACGCTGAACCCGAGCCGCGCGGCGGTGGCCGGCTTGAGCACAGCCTCCGGGTCGGCCTCCACGGCGTCGGACAGGCGCGGCCACATCCTGGCGTACACCACCCACGACCCGTCCTCCTCCGGGCTCCGCGCCACCATCATGGCCGCCGACCCCAGCTGTCCCGGCCGCACCCACGGCATCACCAGCCGCGGCCGCCCGAACCCGAAGTCCCCGTCCACCCGGAACGCCACGAACGCCGACAGCACCTGCGCGGGGCTCCCCGTGCCGGCGCCCACCGCCTCCGTCCACTTGCCACCATCTCGGAACACCCCCTTGCGCACCTCCATCCAGTCCACCAGCTCGTCGAACCGCTCCGGCCGGAACACCTCCGCGATGGCTGCGCGCGCCATCGCCGCCACGTCGGCCAGTGGGGACGAGGAGATAGCGTCCACGGCGGCCTCCCTCGACGCGTACGTGACCACGTTACCGACGTAGCGTCTCAGCGTGTCCCTGTCGTACCGGGCGGGGCCGAGGCGCGGCCGGCCGTCGACGAGCCACGCGAGGCGGCAGTGCGTGTCGGAGCCGCCGATGGCCGCGGCGAGCAGCTTCCAGACGTGCGCGGACAGGGCCTCCAGGCGCGTGGCGCGGCGAGCGGCGGCAGTCGACGTCGGCCGCGGAGACCACGTAGACGCGGCGCACGAGGTAGCCACCAGGAGGGAGTTAGGGAGCTCCCCTGATAGGCTATATAGGATCGTTAGGGGTAGATCTAGTGGGTGATTTCTTGTTAAACAGCAAGAACAACCTCCGGATGAACAAACTGAAGAGAGAGAGAGAGGCGCAGGGGTCAAACCATCGTTGTTGGTGGATGAGAAGCTCGCCATCGACCATGTCGGTGAAGGAGTGGCAGTGGCGAGAGAGGCGTGTCGTCAGACCATCGTTGTTTGTGGATGAGGCGCTGGTCCATCGGCGACGGCGAAGGAGTGGCACTTCCCGTCCGGCTAGGGTGTCGGGGGGAGTGAGCAGTGGAATGAGTGAACCTCGTGTCTCGAGTCCCAGCCCCCACCTCTTATTTGTAGTGCTGTACGATGGGGACTCGCTAGCCAAGAGTATGGCTAGGGAGTCAAGCGTGTTGGATCGAGCCAGGTGGAGATCAATCTAACACCCCCACGCGTACCGCATGAACTCGGCGTCCAGTGACTGGGCTGTGCGGGCGCCGCGGCGGCGAGCGCGGCCGGAAGAGTGAGGCACGACCGTGGTGGGGCTCCCACGAGGCGCCGCCGGTGCGCAGCAGCTCCGCCCACGCGGCCTGCTGCGCCGTCAGGCCGTGGCCGTCCACCAGCAGGTGGTTGGTCCCCCACGAGAGCGCGAAGCCGCCACACGCGAACCGCACGAGCTGCAGCGACAGCGCGAGGCCAAGCTCGAAGGGCACCGGGATGTTCCCGAGCGAGCGGTCGGCGTCCGCGAAGTCGACGTCGGCGAGCGCCACCGCGGCGTCGGCGATCACGAGCTCGGCCCAATCAAGAACCGGGCACGTATGGCTGGGCTTTGACAATAAACGAATTTTATTAGCAGCACCGAGCTGTTAGGAGTACGAAAGGCTCCCAGATTAGAAAATCCATTACATTCCTTAGTGGGCATGAGGAACTGTGCTCCTGATTGGAGCAAATTACAGCAGGAGACATCATAGAAGAATTTGATTGCAAGGCCTGTAGTGCCTGCTTGGCAACCAGAAATCGGCAGTTGTATTCAGCTGTCTTGCAATCTTGTAGATTTTGTGATGTCTGCCTGCATTTGATGCCATGAACCTGTTGGTGAAGCTCTTAATTCTCCAGTCAGGTGGAGAGAAGTCATTTCCATTGAAGAAGGTCACTAGAGACTGATCATCAGAGAGGTAATTCGGGCTCTGCATGTTGAGATGAGAGGTGATGAGAGCCGCTAAATCAAGAGCAGCTGTTTCGGCCATCAAAACAGAACCTGCATTAGTGATAGCTGCCTGTATATATATATGTGGTGGACCGGCTGCGTTTGTGTGTTGTTGATGAAAATTACAAGTCCCGTATTTCTGTGGGTGTGTTGGATATTGTCTGGCTCTGTGGCTGCATCGGCATAACATTCCCAAGAGAGCTGGGAGAGCAATGGTGTAGTTTGGTGGCCTTGGCATAGTTTCCGACTGAAGTCGCCACTGTTCTGCAAGAATCTCACCATTTACTGCACTAAAAGTTAGCATACCTGTGGTCTGTGTGCTGTGGTGTGATCCAAGTGTGCTGGAGTACGGCTTTTGCAGTCTGCATCTCCATTGGTCCAGCTGCATCCCTGTTGTCCCTGCATTAGAGTTGATGTTGTTGTTGATGCCCCCCTGTGGGTTGGGTGGATTCATGTTTGTTGCAGCCGTCGCGCCCATCTGCGTCGTAGAATCCTGTACTTCACCTGCAATTTTGATTGAAGAGGCAACCAGCAAGTCTGCTGCGACAACATAATGCACTTGCCAAGGTGTCCAGGTTTTACTATTAAAACGGATATCATTTCTAGCTTTCCAAATATACCACATATTTGTTAGGACAGTTGTGAAGTGGTTGTCAGAAGTATTTGGACCGAGGATTGTAGCAAGGATTTGTTGGACACCGCCCTACTCATTGGGTACAAGTATTTGGGCTGAGGATCGTAGCAAGTATATACTCTCCTCCGTCCCTAAAAAAGAGTCGCTACGAGAATCGTGTTGATCAAACTTTCTCAACTTTAACTAAATTTGTAGAAAATGCATGCGTTCAACATTTATATCTTCAGATAAGTTTATTATATGAAAGTACTCCATCCAAGTTGGTAAAAGAAGTCGTTTTAGACAAGGTTTGGGTCAAACATTGAAAATATAAATCATGAATAACTTTTAAGTTGTTGAATTTGAAAATGTGAAAAACATATGAATAGATTTGTCTTGAGAAATAATTTCATAAAGATATACATATATCACTTTTCAATAAATACTTTAATAAAAATAAGAAGTCAAAGTTATGCTTTGAAGACTATGTCACCGTCCTAAAATGACTTCTTTTACCAACCTGGAGGGAGTATATTCAACGATCTACTTAATGATACTAATTATGTAGCATAAATATTAATATTTTGTTAAATATATTTGATTAAATTTAAAAGTTGTTGATTTTTTGGGAAGCGGGAATGACTCATTTTTTTAACAGAGGGTGGGAGTATATGGTTGGGATTGGGCACTTTGGCTAAGCCATTGCAGAATGAGGGCAGCTCCATTCCTTCAGTCGAACCAAACTGACAGAACTCGAATACTCGATGACATGTCCATAGCTCCGGTGCTTCATTCGATGATTGCAGTAGAAAATTCAGAACTGAGAGGTTGCTAGAGCTCTGTGTCTGGCGACAATGATCTGGCCAGTCCTTTGCACTGACACGAGGCTCTGATGATTCGAATCATCTGTTCGGTTCAATTTTAAGTCTGACGATCAACGTTTCATTTTTTTCATCCCACGGTTCAACTTTTCAGCAACACTGGAGCTGCTCGAGGACTGAAGAGGATGCTGATCTTTCAGGCGGGAAAAAAAGGTGGGTCATTTTTCAGATGGAATGAAGTGACCAACCCAAGATTGAAGCAGCTATAAAATCGTCACCATAATTACTCTATCTATTTGCTTTGGGGGGAAACTGCCTCACAAGGCACAACCGGCCTTTCATGCCATCCATGGTCGTTTGCAGCCTATGAGAGTATGAGGCCTCCTTTTTACAGTGTGTGAGCTGAGATGAACCCCATTTCCATTACTCTCATAATGGAAATACAACAGTTTGTGAGCAGAATAAGAGAAAGAGAAAGGGAAGAAAGACCACGATTTTCTATCATTCTTCCAATGTGAATGTCTGATTCAGATGTCTTCGCCAAAATACGAGATAGAGTACCAGGCCTCCTGTCAGACTGAAAGTGCAAATTTCAGCTAGCCAGATATATCTTGCAAGTGAGCATTTGAGGATATATGATCTACCATATCAGTTTTTAATTCATTCACAGCTAGGTCTTTGCAGCGTTGCAACGGGAGCCAAGAAATTTTAGCATGACAAAGAAACCTGAAAAAAAAACATGGTGTTTTGAGATCACCAAACACCACAATCCACCTAATGTTAGCAACATGCTATTCTTAGACTCATTGAGATGCATAGGTATCAATTTTTACATTTCGGTATCTAAGAAAGCATAAATAAAGAACACTAAAAATACATGATTCAAGTATGTACTTCAAGAAGCAAGTATAGGATCGAGGATCCATGTTTTTCTTGTTACAAAAACAATAGTTAAAAAAAAGATGAATTCTAGTTTTCCTGGCCATGAGCTAACAACGCGAGGTATGCTTCCCGGTCCATCTCAAATCCGACCAAGTTCCTCCACTGGTCGCCCTCGCCATCGGCCACCTTCTGCACCGTTTCATCTCGGAGGTTAAGGGTGAATGTGCCACTGTGTCCACTGCTTTCTCCCATCGTGAACAAGACAAGGCCACTCTTCTCACCGAACCATCGTAGCTTGAGCGAGGTGTCTCGACATGTCATCTTCATCTGGTGCATCAGGACGCCCTGCTCAAAAGAGCTTGACTCCTTTCTACCAGTCTGGAAGTCATCTCCCTGAATCTCGAAGTATGATATTTTTGCACAGAGGATGTTCAGACCTGCACGGATGCTATAGTGCATGAAGAACAACCTGTTGTCGGGCGAAACGCCCAACAGACGCTTCTCGGGCCAGTAATGAGGGACATCGTACGGCAGCAGATGCGCGTGCATAGCCTGGCCGTTCGGATCTTGGGCGTCCAGGTCCAGCCGCACCCCAAGAGCGCCATGGTCCAGTGGCCAGAAGGCCACGCCGCGCAGCACGACGGCCGGACCAACGTGACGCAGCTCCTGGTCGGAGACATCCACGGATGACTTAGCCTCTGTTCCCCAGTTTCCAATGTCCGAGGCGTAGCACCGGAGCACGGTGAAACCCGGCCGGTTGTAGACGAGCAGCAGACGAAAGAACCTGGTGGAGCCCAGTGGATCGAGGTCGTCGCCAGTGAGCAATGTGCAGGCATAGCTGACGGGCATGTCCTTGCCAGGAAGGGGCGGCAGCACGGAAACATCCCCAGTGATCGGGTTGCAGACACAGAACGTCAGCCCGTCGGTGCGTCTCCGGCGCTGAAGCTCCACGACGAGACGGCCACTGCGGGAGGCGACGAGGCGAGAGTAGTCAAAGGTCCCGCCATCCAGATCGTCGCCATGGAACAGAGAGCCGATGCCGGAGCGGTGGTGGCAACCTAAGAGCCGACTGCCAGAGCCCATGGCAAGGAAGCGCGCCACGCTGCCCCGTGTACGCGCGGCGGGTCTATCATTCTCCTGGCAGAAGAAGCCGACGGCGAGCTGGGGAAGGAAGCGGCCAAGCGGCGGCAGCAAGCGAGAGAGCGCCGCGGCCCTTGTGGCCACGACGCACGCCCACCGCGCGCATGCGGCTGCGCAGCGCACGACCTCTGCCGTATCCGGTAGCCGGGTAAAGATTTCAGCGAGCGCGTCGCCCGGGAGGCATGTGCCGTTGGTGTGCAGGCCAGCGCGGCGGCGATCCCCTCTCCTGTATGGCTGAGCAGCAGGACTAAGCCGGTGGCGTCGTCCGCGCTGCGGCCGCGGCATCGTTGCGCAGGACGAAAGGACGATCGAACACAGATTTGAGTGCCTCCCTGCCTTGCCTTGTGCGGATGATCACGGCTGAGAATTTATGCACCGAACGACTTGCCACAGGGCCGGTTCCGATTCCTACCCGAACAACGCATGCACCTCTTAAACGGCCACCGTTTCAGGTCGACTCCGATTCTGCAACATGTAAGAGAGAAAAGGACTCGCACCGTCGCACATGCATGCTGTTTGTTTTTTTGTAAAAAAAAAGATAAGATAACAATATTTACTAGATATAAATGCCGGTGCGTTGTAGAAAAAAAAATGGTTTGCAGGGGCAGATCCATTATTAGCCAAAGGCTACGGCCATTATATTAGGCATAAGTGCTAGTTGTGCTTAGCTATAAAAAAACGATAATTTGTCCACCGTAAGGGCTAAGACTAGGGTCATAGCACTATTGACCCTAGTGCCCGGCACGGCTGCTCATTGCACTGCCCGTGCCTATGTCGGTGTGGACCAATATCGGGCTTGATTTCATCAAAGCACTCCCACGCTTGGGTGGAAAGTCGGTCATCCTCACAGTGGTTGATCTGTTCAGTAATTACTGCCACTTCATCCCACTAGCTTACCCATATTCTTGACAGAATTGGTGGCACGAGCTTTCTTCGTCGAGATTGTGCGCCTCCGTGGCGTGCCCCCGTCCATGGTCTCGAGATAGGGACCCGGTGTTCACCTCCATTTTTTGACGGGAACTCATGCGCCTGACAAGCGCAGAGCTGCACATGACATCGGCCTTCCATCCATGATCAGACGGCCAGATGGAGGCCGCCCACAAGGTCATCGTCATGTACCTCCGCTGCCTCACCGGAGATCATCCCCGCTAGTGGTTGCGCTGGGTGTCGTTGGCAGAATACGTCTACAACACCACCTACCAGTTCGCCCTTAAAGACCACGTCCTTCAAGGTCTTCTAAGGCCTTGACGCCCCTCCATCTGCTCCTATGAGCCTGGTGAGACGCGTGTGGTGGCGGTGGCCAAAAGCATGTCGAACAGGGATGAACTCCTCGCTGATGTTCGTTACCGCCTCGAGCAGGCGCAAACAATCTACAAGCGCCACACGACAATAACCACCGCGAGGCCCGCTATGCTGTTGGCAACTGGGTGTGGCTCCGCATTCGCCATCACGCCCCGGCCTCCCTCCAAGTACCATCAAAGGGGATGCTCAAGCCTCGCTTCTATGGGCCATACCGCGTCATCGAGGTCATCCATGACGTCGCCTACCGCCTCGACCTTCCACCATGCGCCAGCCTCCAAAATGTCTTCCATGTGGGCCTACTGAAGAAGTTCATCGGTACCCTGTCGGTAGCACCGCCGCCCCTGCTAGTGTCGGGGACCAATACTAGGATACCCGAAGAAGAGGAGCTAATAACCATCAACGTTGCTTCATCCGAGCGGTCAAGAGCGTGACTACAGCTCTTGCCGACCCCCAGGTATGCAAGTTCCGCCTCGCCCAGCCTCTGAGGGCTGGCTCCGCCTCACCCAACCTCCGAGGGCTGGCTCCGCCTCGCCCGACCTCTGAGGGCAGGGCTCCGCCTCACCCGACCTCCGAGGGTTGGCTCCGCCTCGCCCGACCTATGAGGGCAGGGCTCCAC